TCTGTGCAACTGAGGCCTGTTTTTACTTTTCATATTTATAGTTGGAAGATATAAATTATTAGAGTTCCAAACAACAGGAAAGAATTAAGAAGCTAGTGTCTGTTTTCTGGACTGCCTAGTTTACCCTTAAGTACGTTTGTTCTTTAAATAAACAGGATCTCTTTAGTTAAACAGTGTTGGTTTCCCAATTTACAGTTTTCTTTATTTAATCTAATCTTACTATGCTCGATAGCCTTTATTGACTTATCAAGACTTATTTTCGTCTTTACATCATATAGGCTCATAAACACTTTTATGTGTATTTTTCGTGAATTTCATATTCATTTTCATTTTTTAAATAAGAAATTTATAAACAGATGCTGTGTAAGAATAGATAAAAAATAAGAGGCAACCAACGAGAAGAAGAACTAGCAAAAATAGTTACAAAGTTTTGATTTACCTCTTGTAAGATTCATCTTTTTGCCTGAATGAAAAAAAAAATTGATTTTAGGTAAGATTTGGAGAAATTGGAGTAAAGAATGTGAAAGACATGTACACTCCCGATTTCGTCCAATAGAAGACTGCAATAGAAAACAAAAAAATCAGATTAAAGCCTTGGAGACGCAATTCCTGCGAAGAGTTGAAGGAAAAACGATCCCATAAGAAACATGGACTCGAAAAAACTTGGATGTAAGACCAGCAGAGTCTGTGATAAAGGAAAATTGTTTGTGATGGATCGATCGTTACTCTAAAATGGAAGAGAACCGTGTCGCCAGAATTATGTTAGAAAGTAATGTTTACAAAAGGAGACCTCGCGGAAGGCCCAGGACTTGGGAGGACGGTGTCAAGGAGGCATTTGACGGAAGATGTATGGACTGGAGGAGGAGGTTGCAGTAGGTACAGTATCGGGCTTTGTGGATTCGCCTCTGCAAGAAGGCTTCTCACACTGCTTAGCGGAAGAAGAGGAAACGATTAAGAGAAAGAGTGGGTGGGAAAAGAAGAGAGGAAAATGCCCTACCTTTTCTTCCATTGGATACGTCCATGCTAAAATTCGAACTTGCAGAAAATGGACAGTTTCCTAGTAATGAAATCCTTAGAAAAAATATATGAATAACATGCTAAGAAATAAAAAAAAAAAAGTTATGGAGAAACATTTCTGTGTCGTTCAGGTATATGCAACCCAATCATGGCTACTATGCAACCCAAACGAAACAAGGATCATTGATTATACCAACAAAATGACTTTCTGATTTCCAGTGAATAATCATTTTAATGGTGCGCTCTGACGGCAACGCCTGCGTGTGGACTTAGAAGCCTCTACCGATTATAGAAAAATGATCGATATTACTTTCTGTGGAGGCATCCATCCGCCCAAACAGTTAAACTGTTAGCAATCATCAAATCATAACATTGGGAGGGATTACGGTCTTTGAATTTGCTTTAGAAAAGAGAAATACGTAGAAGTAAAGGCCGCTCACTTAAAATCGAAACAGAAGAAAAAAGAAATAACTGAAATAATTGTGACGATAATCCACCAAAGTAGATATGGTTTTAATCGTTTGTGATTTAATGTTAAGTGGAGCTATAATAACATGGGATTATAATTAACTGAGGCATTAATATAACCAAAAAAAATGTTACCAAGTTATTGACAAAACCAAGTTGTAATATTTATGTTAGAAATAATGAAATCCACAAAAAATCTCCCCTTTAACTGTAGGTATAGTTGCTACAACAAAACCTATTGTAATATGGTTGTGAGAACTGTTTTTAAAACCTACTCACGACTAGTGCTGAGGAAGTTAAGGCTGGTGTATATAAAAGTATCCGGCTTGATAAGCATGCTGGGATTTAAATTAAAAAAATGCACTAGACTGAAAATTTGAAGAATAACTTAAATAAATATATGAAAGCAAGGATTTCAAGAAATTTGCCCAAAACTGTGCACAAACACGAATGCTAAAGTTAGGATATTTAGATAACTGACTTTAAGATTAGATCGGAATTACTCACCCAACGCCATGAGCTGTTATCGAAATGAGATCTTTTTCATGATACATCGATAAACTCCAAAAATTATTAATTGCTAATTAAATTCCTAATGCCCAGTGAATATCATGAATCACCAAATTAAGTAATAACCAGAGATCAAATAAAAAATGGTGGTGAGCATCAAATATCAAAGATCACTGTTTCAAATCGATTCAATGAACTAAGCAAAGAAAAAAAAGTACTTAATGTTAAACAAAAACACCACAGACCTGAAGAGAAAATTTTAAAATAGTTTTAAAAGTCTTGTAAAGCTAATTTACTAAAAAAAAAACAAAATTTTTTATTACTTCTGATTACTTTCAAATAATATAATAGACGAATAAAATGTTGCATAAATATCTCTAATATATTTATTCAAATATATAAATCTTTTATACTACAAAGTAAATAAATAAACCTAATATTAAGTACAATAAATAATTCATTTTCATTTTTGTTCTCTCCTTGCTCATGAGAAAGACTTTTTTTGAAATAAGGTCACAAAGTTTTTAGACGATCGATGATTTATTAGGAGGTGGAGTAATTAGTCTTCCGCTCATTTAAGATAATTAAAGTTTGGACTATTTTTTTTTTAGTGAAAACCCACACAAAAATGGCTAATCGTAATACACATATCTCATCTATATGTAGCAATGATTAAAATATTTTTCGACCATAATGATTTAGGAATGAACTGACAAACCAATGGGAAAGTTGAAATTCTGAAATTACCATTTAGCCGCCCAGAGACCTTTTTTGAATTTATTGGAGTTTTAGCAATGTCCAGATTCTCCACCTAAACCATTTACCTCTGCTCATCTTCTAATGGTCTATAATACCAGTAGCGCGGCTGAGTGAGGGGCGCTGGGATCTCTTAGTCTTGCATTTCCTTCCACGAGTGGGGGGAAAGGCTTGGCTCGGAGATTTTGAGTGAATGATTTTTTTTTCTAGATATTGTATAGAAGCATGTATGTATTTGAGTTGTTACTTTCATTAGCTTAGTTCCTTTTAGTTTACATACATTTACTTTTAGTATTATTATTTTTCTGTATTATTTATTTTTATTTATAAAACTTTGAAGTTATTTTATGGGAAAATGTTTTAAATAATTTTCTTGATAACTATTCAGCGATTTTATTTGTGTAGTGATCTTCCCGTTCTACTGAATTCTTGACCTTAGCGGTACAAGGAAACGCACAACTCGGAAAACAAAATACTGGATTACACGGAACTGAAGAATCGGTCAACGCAACAGTAAATAAATTTCAGGGTCTACTGGTTTTGGTATAATATCACAAACAAAATTAGATTACGAGAGTGAAAATTAATAAATAAGTAAGGTGAATTTCAAGAGGAGAGTCAATAGGTTCTTCGGTTGGTTAACTTATCTTTCCGATAATCTTTAACTTTTCCACGTTAAAAAAAAATGTAGAAACATTTAACCCCCATGCCGGACTGAAACGACTAGAAACCGCCCGAAGTTTTCGACTACTGCAGCACTTACTAGACAAACGCTCTAAACAACTATTTACAAAAGACTCATATATATTACTATAATAAGGCCTATTTGGACTTACGGGATCGAGCTTTGGGGCTCTACTAAACCATCAAATTCCTCTCGTATCCAATCCCTACAATCCAAAATCCTTCGTAAAATCCTTAATGTTCCTTACTTGGTCACAAATAAAATCATCCATACCGACCTTAATGTACCATATGTTTCCGATTTAGCTCAATCCAGATACCTACTAATATATACAAATAACAAAGGGCAGTGGAAGGACTTCGTTATTTGTATATATTAGTATTGTTATACTTATATATGTAATTTATTAAATAAACGTTGTAGAGGTTGGAAAAAAAAATTGGCATGCATATGTTTTTGCTTTGTTTTCATTTTCTTATTTTTAAGTTATCTTATTTTATTTATCGCATATACTTATTAATTATTATTTTGCTTCTATATATCTTATATTTGTCTGTACGTATAGTGTGAATGTTGTTCTAGCTCACTATAACTAATGTCCAAGGAACAGATTGTTGTGATACTCAATAAATAAATAAAAAAATAAATAAATAATAGTTTTATTACTAGTAAGTTGACAAGATGTTTAGAACAAGTGAGAGAAGTTCTCGAGTGATACAAATATCCTGTTAAATTTCATGAAAAGCTTAACACTGAGTATTTTTACCATTTTAAAATAACGCTTCCAGAGGCCACCGAAGTCGATGGCGCATGCTTCCCACCTCTCCTCCAAAGTAATTTTATGACTCTACCCTTTTAATAAACTGTGCAAGCAAAGTAGAATACTAAACATTTTGGTTTATATTTCTTTGCCTATTTACTGATTTGAATGTTCCTTCAAATCGGAATCGGAAAAAATAAAAAAAGTATTTTATTCATTAAAAAAAAACCTTCATAAATTCAAAGTCATGTCTAAATGTGTCCTACTCGAAAATTCGAACAATCAAACTTTATAAGGCAACTTGTGCCATAAACTTCTCTTCTATGAACACCTGGGTACTCTTTCATTAATTAAATAAATATCTGTCAGTATGACCCTTCTAATATGAATTGTTTTCCTGTTTGTCATTGATGAGATTTTGCGAATTGGTCTTGAATGAAGATAATAAGATTACTGTTACATAATAAACTGGATTATAGAAAATATAATATCTAAAAATTATCCAAAATAAACAACAAGAACTTAAATTAAAAAATAATGTAATGTAAATATTAATAAGTGAATAAAATATTTTTCTTTCTATGGAATGATTTTATAATTCAAAATTTGTATGTAAGGATGGCTAATAAAAAGTACGTCTGGAATCTATTAATATTCTCCACTTTTTCCTCCATCCCTACCTCAACTCCCTCCCAGTACAAATTTTCTTCGCGTTTCCATTTTGTAACTAAATAACTTGAGAATAATAAGGGAGAATGTAAGCAGAATTAATATAAGGGATGAAGAAGAATTGGTAAACAGTACCTGGCAGTCATGATGTTGACTCTCCATGGTAGCTGCAGACTGTGATTGGAGGCAAGCGGCAGAACAGGTCTAAATACAGGAGACCCCTCCTCGTCCACTCTTCAGCTCGACTTGTTCTTAATCCCTCCACTTCAATTCTCATCCGAGTCTTGCGTCTTGGCAACTTGCCAGCTTGTTTTCCTTGAGTTTTCCACTGATTAGCATACTCATACCAGTTGGAAATCACACCATATCCCTCAGAGGGACTGGGATGATAAAAAATGGCAATAATCATTTGTTGGCCGCAAACAAGGGTGTGTAGTAGATATGTCTACTACAACAAAACAATACCTTACAACAAAACAGTTCGAAGTTATGATCAGTATTCGCACCCAATCGCAAATTTTTTCGTTTCATTAATTAATTGATAATTTCCCCATATTTCTGTCATAGGAACTGATGCGTATTTATAAGTTGCAAACTTTATATTTCTAGCCCTAATATTTAAGTTTTGAAGAATATTTACGCATACAATTCCTTATGACGGAATTCTGCGGGAAAAACACAATCTCATAAGCACCTTTCATAAAAAATATTTGAAAAATCATTATTTTTAAATTTTTTATTTTTATAAATAAAATGTGCTTTTAGGCAATTAGGTTTATTACAATACATCCCATAACACGTGGATTTATTATTTATTTATTTATTCAAAACAATAAATAAAAGCTTTGTAACAGTTAATCGTGGTCATTTTTGCAGAAAACATGGGTACTTTTAGGTCACTGGATAGAAAATCCCATCATTTATTTACACAACTTGAGACGAATCTCAAAATTTTTCGTGATAAACCTCAACATAATTAATATGGACTTAGAGCTTATTGAACGAGGAAGTTTTTTTTAAAGTGGGGTAAATAAATAATGTAGTACAATTGAAGGGTGATGAAAAGAAATCACAAATAATTTTTAAACTTAGCTGTGTTTGTCCGCTCAATAGTCGGCTTTAAAAAGTTTTAACAATGACAAACTCTACTTTTGTTTAAAGTAAATTTTATCTAGTTTACTATGGAACAATGTTTAATTGCGTAAATCAAATATTTTTTAAGTTATAGCTTCCTATTCAACAAAAAATGGGACTTGCATAAAAAAAAAAAAAAAAACACACAAATATTAAATTTCCCCACTTTTCTGCTCGAAATTGGGTAATTTTTCATGTGTACTTTTTATAGATCTTGATGTCTACTATCAACCTTATATATTTCCATCTACTAACGGGACGCCCGGTATATATATATATACATATATATATATACATATATATATATATATATATATATATATATATATATATATATATATATATATATTAGCATAATTACATAATTATTTAAAGAGAGAAGAGTTTTGTATTTATTATTGAGAAATTTAACTATAAAAAAAGAACATATACAAATAAATAGAAATGATTGGTGATTGGAATGATCTGACATAATGCTTCACGCGGTTCTTTACGAGGTACACTGAAATCCCCAGAGAACCCTCAACTTCGAGCACAGTTCGAGGAAAAGTAGTAAAGTAAATTTCAGATTAAGAAGTAAATTCTGTATTTATTTCTATTATTAGATAATTTATAAATATTTTAAACCTTATTTTTTTAAAAACAAAGAAGTAATTTCTTTCATTTCTAATAAAATATATATTGCTTCTAAAATAGTCAAAGAACAAACTTCTACTTATTAATTTTTTAAAACTAGTTTGGAATACTTCAAAAATCATTTATTTCCATGTAATATATCCACAGTTAACGAATCGTAGACAGTGGATACTTTATAAATAATAGTTTTATTCATAATGTTACAAGTGGCATCTAAAATACAGAGTAATATAATATGGATATATGAGTTGACTACATCAGTTCACTCCAGGTCTCCTACAGTGAAGAGTCTGACTCAAGAATGCAACTACATGAGTGATTTGGTATTAGAAGGATGGGGGTTATATGCTAAGGAATAGTAGGGGGGATGAATCAATTCTGGACGGTCTAGGAAGCGTGTGAATGAAGTTATCAAGTATTAAGAATTGATATCCTTATCTTTTGGAATTGATATGAAGTCTGTGAGAAAGTACCCTTTAGCTGAAATCGGTTATTGTTCCCTAAGTCTTGATAAGTGTCTTCTGTCCAGTCAGTACATTCTAGATAACTATTTCTCAGCTATCTGAGATAGCTTGACCTGGCTATCTAAGGCTTTGTGTTATGCTTTGATAAAGGTCATGAGAAAGGTCAATGCATGATTAAATAAAATAAAGTTAATATTAATAGTTGTTACGGATTAAGTCCATTCCGTAACTCACGATTTCAGACGACTCAAATTTCGTCTAAAGCCCTCTGCCACATCATTTAGTACTCATAAATGGCATAATTATAAAGCTATAATAACGCTGTTGGTATATTATTTTGATTATATTAATAAAGAAATATTAATGCAATAATTTAATTGACCAAAAAATTATACAACTTTTATTTTTATTTTTTAATTATTGTATACGAAGGATGTTAAAGAAGGCCTCTTCAAAATGATATAATTGTAATAACAAAGCTTAACTAAAAAATACTTCAATGAATATCTTGATTTTTTTAATATCTCTGTTTTTCAATGAGTTTTGTGTTAGACGTCACCCATAAATCACCCATTACACTACCAATATCTGCATCTTTATACTTAAAAAAATTCCAGTTTTACAGTTAGTAAATAATTATTGAGAAGCTATGAACCTAATTAATTATTTTGAATTTGTTTGTTGTTGATAATCTGAATATCATAAAAAAATAAATTAAAAAAATAACCTGAAAGTTATTTATTTTGAATTCATGTGTTCAGCCTTAAAATTACTTCTATTTTTGTTTTATTATAGTTGTGAATTAAAACCTTTCCCCAATTGGATTTTAATATTTTAAGATATTTCAATACTATACATGCATATCACCTCTTATCGGCTCTAATTTTTGCTGTCAAGATTGACAGATTCTGAAAACAAAAGATTACTTAAAAATTATAGTAAAAATATGCATATGATTGGCCTATTGAGATGATTTATTAGTATATACCTTTTAAAAAGAACAGTTCAAAATATTTGATAGAAGGATTCCTTTTTTTTTTTTTTCGTCTTTGGTTCGAAGGCTGTTTTATTTAAGATCCAAGTTTCTACAACATATGTAATTAATACTTTTATTAAAATTTTCAAATAATTTATTCAATAAACTTAATATTACTAGTGGGTACTTCTTTCTTATCATCTCTATTGATTTCTAGTTATAATTTGTTTTCTGGTTTAGTATTCTGAACCCTCAATGTACTCCCTTCTAAGTTGAACAGTTGTCAATCACTTCTAACTAAAAGCACCCTAACTGGCATTAATTTTATCATTCCTTCATGGATTTATTTCCTTCTGTTTAACTTAGATTCAATTCAAGTAAACTGCCATCATCATTCCTCTTCTACCTCTTATGCAGTGTGAGATATTCATACGTGACATACTGGTTTTTGCCGTTCTTATGGGCTGTAGAGCGATGTTAAAATAACCACAAGTATTCCTCAATTAATGGTCTATCTAACGCAAAAATAAAAATTCTAATCGGACTTACACAGTTATTTAAATCAGCATATTTATATAAACAAACTCTTTAGCTCTTTACTGGAGAATCATTGTTTTCACATAGTAAGGTTATTGTATAGATAAAAAATCACTAAAGGGAATTTTATTTAAAAAATTCTCTGTGAAAAAAATATTAATAAATTAGTAATAGGTAAATTAATTTAAAAACATATTAAATTAAAAATTGAATTTCAAATTCTAGTTCATCACATGGATCCGATTCAATTCATAATTATATAAATCAGACCTTCGACTATTGTCCCAAATAAATAATAAAAATTATAGTATTTATCGAATGGCATATTGCACGTTATTTATGATCCAAGAATTATATCAGTTATCTGTCTCATCGAACAGCTATCTCACAATCTAATGAACACACAGCAGCTATAACGCGTTTACTCACATTAAGTGACCGTTATCTAGAATCATAAATTGTTCATAATTTATCTAAACCAAAAGTCAGGTCAAAGTTCACTGTTCCCACACTTATCTTGCGCATGGATGAAGTAGGACTTTATCATAAACTCAACAAAAAAAAAAAAAAAAAAAAAATACACATAAATATTAAAAGGTTTGTTATCAAGTAAAAAGATTATTGTACTCTAAATATATTTTTGCATCTTTGCCTTATATCATATGTAAATAAATTTGCCACTGAGTTGGTTACGAACCAAAACGAAATTAATTTGAATAAAAGAGAACAACAGAACACCAATGCAACTGTGACGTAAACAATGATGACTCCCCGAAGGGACATTAATATTAAACAACCTCGAACAATTAAATTACTTCCTATTCCATTTACAGGTTGCGGTTCTAACCACCGGAGTTTGAATAGATTTTATCTATTGCAGATGAGTGATGAAGTGCCCTCAGGTATTTCTCCGGAAAAATTGAAGATATGTTGAAAAATAAGACTAGTTCATTTTTCACTCTAATAAACGAGGGTAGTGAAGCTTTGTATTCCTACGGGAGGTAAAACATTTTTTCGTCCTCAGAATCCAAAATTACAAGATTTCTGCCAGTAGTCAAATCCATGGAACAGCTCTCGTACCTGCCACCGCTCATCCGATAAAATGGACTTTCATGAAATTTCAGAAGTTATGCAGATTGCTACTTGGATGGTTCCATATTACTTTCATCCCGTTGAGAATCGAGCCACGGCTTACGTCTACAAACAGGTCGTCGTGGCGGCCTCGATCAGCAGAGCCAGGTTGAAAGATGAAGCTGAACGGTGCGCCAACCTAAATAAAAAATACCTAATTCTTTCTGTTGAAAAAATCGAATCAAGAAAACAAACTTAGATCCTCAGTTCCGATAATGGTTCATAAAGCAGATAAAAGGAAATAAATAAAAAGATAAACAAGCCAGGCCAACCAAAGAATGCAGGGATAGTTATTTATGCAGTTCCCAACCTGGCCAGGGTGACATTTGATGGTTCATCAGGCGACTGGAAGCAGGGCTCGAGGAATTCATTAGTTTAGGACACTTGTCCGACAACTGTTTTGGTCCGTCAGCGTTTTCTCTCCCTCTTCCTCCTAAAAGATGCTGGACCGCTTTTGGTACTTGAAATATCATCTATTAAATAGTCAAAGTTTGTATCTGAATATATACATAGTAAAAATATATATACATACAGGATGTATTAGCAATAATTCAACATAGCTCTGGACACAATAGTATAAAACATGAGCATAAGAGCTGAAGGGAGCTCAACCGAACTTCAGACGAAAAGGGACAATGACCGCTGGAGGACGGTGTTTTCTCATAGAAATAAGAAAAACGTTTTGAAACTCACCCGTGATATATACTCCATTTTGTAATAAAATCTTGGATTTCTTAATATCCCAATTCCAGATTCCGAATTGAAAAGTGAGGCGACC